CAGTCGACCCCCCTATAACACTGTTGATTTTTCCGTTTTATATGAATTCCATGTTGTATGAGTCACTTAGATTTTACAAATACGTGAGCAGTTCACACCCTGGCACACGTATTTGTAAAATCTAAGTGACTCGTATAACATGGAATTCATATAAAACGGAAAAATCAACAGTGTTATAGGGGGGTCGACTTGTACTATATAATAGTGCACATAACATATAATGTATATATGTTTAAAAGCTTCTTTCTATGATAAAAGTGAGAAGAAAGACGAAAAAAAATATTCGATCGCATGCAGTAGCGATGATGCTCCATCCTTGACAAGCGCTCTTCTGATCTGTGAAATTTGCTTGTATTGTAATTTTACTATTTTTCTCGGCATCTGAATATTGATTCGAAGATTCGGTTGAATTTAATAATAACACTCGACCGATAATACCGGAAGTAAGAAACTTTGGAGTCTTGCAAGCCGTTTTCATACTGGAAATGTTTACGATGACGATCTCGACTAAGATGGCCGCCGCCATTATAAACAAAGAATTTCTGGTGAAAGAGGCTGAAATATAAAAGGAAAAAAAAAAAACATTATATTTTAATATATGAAATGTTTGGCTTTAATATAGAATATAAATGTTTTCTATACAAAGGAATATTAATACTGTATATTGATTTGCATAACAACTGATTATCAGAAGTAATTCTATTAAATTTGTACGATATATTCGTAATTATAAAATGTCTGCTTACTCTGATAGCATCGTGGATTAAGACAATAATGGAATTACGCTCATAGATATCGCGAAATACAACGAATAAGTTCGGCATTCTATATTTTTAGGTGTTTGGACTTGAATATCGTTAGACTTTTATATTGAATATATTGATATCTTACCTGCTACTTCTAATCCAGGTTTGGAGAGATGACCCAGTAGCAAGATCATGGCTAGAATGAGGAGGGAAACAGCACCCAACGTAAATTTTTTCTCCGAATCGGATGGTAACCAAAACATAGCCAGGGTGAGGATGATGGCGATCAAAGTGGTTCCGCACATAATTTCCTTAGCATTAACGGCTTTCGAATGCCATTTTCTCAGTTCGAAGATGTACGAAATGCTGACGTAAGCTTCGGGACAACACTCGTAAAATCTTTCTTGACGTATTGCTTCGAATCGCACAACTTCCCATTTCGGATTGGTATTGGAAAAATGGGAAGTATCGACTTTATCTTTAGATAACTTCAAATTTATATAATTAACGTTTTCTGTCCAGGAACCTATTGTAATATTGCATTTCTGATCGTTTCCTGATCTGTTGATGATACAAAACGTAGAAAATGTGATCGGTGGTATCCACATAACCGTCCCATCGTTGCTAATTAACATGTTGGTTTCTCCATTTAAAGTTTCCACTACAAGTTTGGCCGGATGGCTAGAAATATTTTAAAAAGTTTTATTATCGTTAATGTTGTGGATATGTTAAAATCATTATATTTATTCTATTAATCACGTTACGCAGAATGGTTTTCTGAAACTTTTGCAATAATTCTCCGTTTAAATACAGAATAACTTGAATGTTGTGTTTCTGCAATTATTATTTACCCTTATTTTCTCGTTCTCGTTTATGGGTCTCATATTACAGCCAAAATCCAGTGGGTGACCATTGTTGTGGTTTGCAACCCTGTAACAGACGTGTGCGCAGTCGTTGGACGAGGCACGTAAAGATGGCCACTCGCTTGGAAAACTGGACACGAGGAGATGCGATTAGTTTTCTATGAGCGAAGCATGTACTGCCGAAGAAAATCCATTGTAGGTTGATTGTTGTGTATTGGTAAACAGCAATGAATCGCAATAATGTGGCGAAATAGCGCTAACTGTTTGGGTTTTGGGTAGGATGTACTCCAACATACAGCATACATTCAGGACCTCTCTGAGTTATTACCATCTCTTTGCTCCACTGAAAAACATATCGGAGGACGCCTGTTTCATTCGTATGAGGAAGTGCAAGACGAAGTAAGAACTTGGCTTCGACAACAGTTGAATCGAGTAAAAAATTCCACAAATTATAATCGTAAAACTGATTGAGATCTGTAATATTACACCCTCGACCATATGGGGCGCTTTGATGTAACACTCTATACTGTGGAAAACCCCGAAAAATTCAAGAAAAATTTATTAATCTAATTATTTGTCTCCAAGCTTTGCTCCCTGTAAAATTTTCTGCGAACGCCCACGTTTGCAATAATAAAATTCAAAAAGATTATAACATCCTATAATTATAATTGATAAAGCCATTGCAAATCTAGGAAAAAAAAAGTTCATTTTGATATGCATTAAAATCAAAACTCGTGAATGTTTAATGGCACATAAAATAAATAGATAATTACGATACAAGCAATTATTAGTCATTCAAACATCCTCCTCTTCTTCCGTTATTAAGCGTAATGTGATACAACGTGCTGCAATGCATACTACATTAACCAATTATTTTATTCACATAAACCTTCATACCTGTTATATACAGATAAATCCGGTTTCCATACTTCTGAATTAGGTATTGAAATACTGGTTATTCCGGAGTATTTACTCGGATCCCACATTAAAATATCGTCTTTCCATTTCTAAAATATTAATTTTGAAATTTTTATATAAAATTTCTTAAATATTAATATTAAATTTTTTTAACATCTCACTTCAGTTTTAAATTATTCTTAAAAAAAATAGGAGTAACTCACAAAACTTATCCATCCTTCCACTGTTAATTTCGATTCATCTTCATTCTGAAAAGAAATTTTCAATTAGTAAACAGCTTAAAACACTGCATAATATTCTAATTGTTATTTGTAATACATATTTTGTTGTTGTTCAAACTCTTAACTTCAAGTACGTTCAGAAAACTTGTTGCGATCTGTCTCATTGAAACACGAAGAATGGCACAATCAAATTTACAATGCACAAAGAAACAATAATCCATCAGATTTTTCCAATGCCATAAAACAAAATTAGCATTCTAAATACACACTTTCTTGAAAACATGAAGAATTGTATTGAACGTGAGATATTCGTAAGAAATTGTATCCATATATTACAATACTTTATTTGTATGCAGTGCAATATCTCGTGTTTAAAACAATTATCAACCAGACTTTTCGTGAAGACCGTAGAAATTTAGTTAAATAATTTTATTTACATTCGTCACAGTGCCGTAACTAGCCATTCCTGTGCCCTGTGCAGGAATTTGCATTTAGGCCCCTTAATTACTTAGGTTTGGGAAATTAATAAAACAAATACATGCATTTTGGGCCCCTCCTTCAAGTGGGCCCTGTGCACCTGCCTAGTTACGGCACTGATTCGTCAATAGAATAAACGTATAGATCATACTTACAAGATCAGAAATGTAAAGAGGAGTTATAGATGTTTCTATGGTAATTCCTGTGGATGGCTGACGGACGGGTCGAGAAAATTTATCGTAATCTTTCAGAAGATCCTGTCTTAACTGTTGATATGGATACTGTGCAAAACATCCAATTGAAAAAAATCCTGAAAATGTTAATACGGTTTAAAAATAAAGTATTACAAGCTAAAGAATTTGTGATCAATCTTGTAAACATTTGCCATATATTTGCATGAAGAAATTATTTAAAAAAAAGCAAATTACAAAAGACTCATTGTTAATTCTTTGACAAAACAATTGAGAAATATATTTTTTAAAAAAATTGAATAAATCTTACCTATAAAAATAATAAAAGTTATTTTCATTCTTCAGAATATTTTGGTTGTTAACGAATCAAAGTTAACAGCTTGTATGCACCGTCCTGTATGTATGTATGTGGCTTAGAAGTTGGAATGGGTGTTAAAAGCGCCACCACTAACGGTACAATTAAAAAGATAGACGGAAATCTATCCTCATTTGATTGTTTTGATTGTCATTTGTGACATCACAAAATATGTTATGGAGGAATACGTTTTGCAAATTAATAATTTAATTTAACTTCTAAAAAGACTATAATTCTCTTACGTAAATAAAGTTAGTGTTTGTTTAAATTAAATTAAATTTTATTCGTATANAAAAAAGCCAAAAAAAAAATTTAAACGATTTGTTTTTATTAAGCTAAATAATTATTTAACACAATAACAAACAAATTAAATATTTTAATTAATCAAAACAACAATTTAAATTAATGGGATTTTTTCAGTATGTAATAATAATAATAATAATAATAATATAAATCATTAATTTTTAATAAATTATTACATTATAATTTTATACTTTAAAAGTTATTTAAGACTAAAAAATCGTATAAATATTATTAATTTTTAATAATAATAATGATAATAATAATAAATCTATATACGATACTCGCCAATTTTATCCAAGATTCCATTTTGATGTGTTGATTAACTTCATTCTGAAAAGTATATGAAAATTCAATAAGTATTGGCTCTCAGATTTAAGATGAAATCTTTATCAAATCTAAACGAGAATTTATAATACATTAATAATTTATATCATAATAAATCCTTGATGAATAAATATAAATTAATAGAAAGAACAATGGTAAAGATATTATCTTAATGCTCTGAATGGCTCAAGCTCGAGTCCAATCAGTTCAATTTTCATAAATAAGCTTACTGGTATTTGTAGGTCCCCGTACCCCAATTAATCGACCTCTCCCATTGGGCGAAGACTGGCCAAATCTATGGATTTGGCCAGTCTTCGCCCAATGGAAGCGGTTATTTAATTGGTCCAGATCTACCCTGGGTATGCAAAAGATCCTCTTAGAGTGGAAAAAAACAGGTGTTTAGCGGGGAAGATTATTTACAGTGATTCAGCATTGACATCAATTAACATAAATTAAAGTAATAATAAAATAGAAGAAGAGAAAGATTCGTTAAAGTATAAGACGAATCATTTAATTGTTTCAAAAGCGATTAAACTTCATTAAAACATTCAAGATTTCATCCGTCACGAGATTGTAATTAACGTTAACAATGGAGAACATTTAAAACGAATTAGATTTAATTCATTTTAAATTTTCTGCAGCCTCAACTTTAATTTTGTCGTAGTCAGTCTACGCCATCAATAACGTAATCTAATTATTTCGCGTGTCTATGACGTTGTTCGACACATTCGAATAATTTTCAATTGAGATAAGTGTGGTCAGCATCCGTTGAGCTCGCACTAATTTCTATGTTGAATTTTCAAAACCACCCTCGTACATCATTAAATATCATTTCTACTTAGAA